ATTATTTATTCTTACACAAGCCCTATTTATTAAGGGCTCTAACACTCTCTGGCACTGATGTAGGCATTTTGTGATGGTCCTACATCTGAGTCTTACGTAGCAATTCAAAGGGCTATTCAGTTCCTTGTTACAGTGAACCCCTTTGCCAACAAGCCATGTCTTGACTACATTATGTACTGTTTAGCAGCTGTAGTTTTGAGATTCCTGTGAAACCATAAAAGCAAAGCACAAAGACATAGCAGCACAGAGATAACAGATAACAGATATCCAAAGGGCAGCAAATAACAGAGATATGTTTAGGATATATATTTTTTTTAATTCATAAATAAGGGAGTCTGGATTTTTAAAAGTTTGAGTTTTTTCATTAATACTAAGTTTTAAGAATGGCAATATTTTCTAAGTATTTACAAAATACAGCAACAATGATCAGAAAATATTCAAAGGGATATTTCACTGTAAATTCAAACAATCTAGGCTGTTCCATGTGTTTGCAAAGATTTCATGTTTTAATTGGCTTCCCAGGCAGGTATCTTAGAGTCTGCAAGTCACATCCTCTTAATCTTGTATTGATTGTCTAACATGTTTCCCATTACTATGACGACCCTAATCAATTAACTTCTTGTAAGCAGCAAGACAATTTTATCTTTCTCTTTTTCCTGCTAAAGTGTGAAAACTTTATTTTTACAAAAATATATGGTGCTGCCTCTTATCCATTATGGAACTGCATTATGTTGGGAGAGATACCTAATGCATTTCATTTTTTAAGAAACATTTGAAGATTCTTCACAGAGAAAACATACAGAATTGCTTTGGACCAATATCATAATCGTTCATCAATCTGTGATTGTGTTGATAAAAATTCTCTTTGGCCTCCATCCAGGCTACTGGAAAGTTGTCAGTCACTCAAAGAGGTCACTCACTGAGAAAATCATTCTGCCACTTGGTTTCAAAAAAAGTGCAATATCACAGCCCCAATGTTCTTGACTCCTTTGGCTAGAATTATGCTATCCCAATAAACAAATTTCTCCTCTATAAAAACTGTGAGAATTTCAGCATGAGGGAGGGAAATTCTAAGCTGTGTCTACCCACTTTTTCTTAGTCACAGCCCTCGAAGCTTAGGAACGGACTCAGGCAAGACAATGATCCTTGGATACAGACCACCTTGACTCAAGCTTTGATGTCAAGAAAAATTTGAGGAAATGTCTGAAACTCCCTGACGTTCCATTTCCTGCCCAAGCAAATGGGATCTATATACTTGCCTGTATGACAGTTTGGGGCTTTTCTAGATCTAACCCCTCCCTCCATCCATCCAAGTTCATTCTTCTACCTGAGAGAGATTCCCAAAGCAGAGGAGCACTCCATCATTTTCCTGCCCCAAATTTCCTATGTCTGAAGAGCCCAGAGAAGTCAAGGGCATGTCCATGTCAATTACTTTAATCATTCACATCACCAGGTAAGTGCAAGATGCATCATTTCTAAAATAATACTTTAAAATTGATATAAAGGAATACAGTGAGTTTCAAACAATTCAAGTGATTTGGTCAAGTATTTGAAATGAAGCAGGGTTGCCATCCAAACCCATGTCTGTCTGTCTGGAGGTCGTATTTCAACCCTTCCACATTATGTCTCTATTGACTTTATCCCATAATAAAGTCATGGGATCTTGTAGTAATGTTCTGTGTGCTTTTATCCAAGGTAGCAGGTGCTCTCTTTAGCCATGTCACTCAAACACTTCTTTGCTTGAGGAAAAAGGGAGTAGATGTGAGTGCATGGACAAAAATATGTCACCTCAGGAGGAAGAGAAATGGGACCTCTTCACTACATAATTATATCTTAATAATTATACAAATCATTAAAGAAGGTTTTCTCTCTAAAACAGACCTACTCATAGCCATTTTTATTTTTGATTCCACTTCCTAGAATATTTCTGTTTACCTAAATAAAAGCAACGCATTTTAACAGAATTGTGGCATTTACATAAAATTATCTCATATCTGTGTTATTAAAAATATTCTCCCCTCATAATTTCCCTGACTGAGCTCACTAAAAGGGGCTTATTACTGTGGTAGTAGTGGTGGCATGGTAATGGATGGAGGTGTTTTTAGCAACTTAAAATTATGCATATATCTTTACTTCACACATTCTATAGTTTTATGTTCACCTCAAAAAATGTTTATTCATGCTGTGAATGAAACAGAAATATTTCTCACATAGTAAAGGCAAAGCACAACAGAGACTTGACTAGAAAAGTCAGAAAATGTTAGTTCCATGTAAGACTAAGTATGAAACCAAGCATGTCATAACGGAACATTTTAGCACCTCTTAAATATCCGCAATTGTCATTGGTTTTACGTACAGATGTAGACACACAAGGATACAGATATAAACATAGATCTAAAGCATTTAAAAGGTCATCATGAGCTGGAAAAAAATGTGATTTCAAAAGTAAGTAACGTCAAATTTATTAACTAATAACCAAGAAAAGTTTCATTCTTTTAAGTGGCTTCCCAGTTGGCAACCAAAAGGAATTAGCCCGTTTACTCAATGTGGATCCTGGGAGAAAGGGAGGGGACTGAGACATATGTGGGGCATAAAGACAAGGCAGCTCTGTGTGAAGTCAGCACAGGTTCCAGCTGATCGGAGGTCATCTCCCACTCTGGACACAAGCACAGAGGTATAATCTAACTAGTGTTTGTTGTGCTGGCATTTAGTACTTAAGAACTTCTGATATTCGCCTTGGCAAATGTCTGAGTTGTCCATTTTTTCTCCTGCAGTGACTTTTCACATTACTGCCAGAAGTTTTCATAGTGTGTATGAGCTGGCAAATGACAAAACACAGAGTCTATCCTTGAGGTGGTGTTTAAATTTCTTAGGAATAAAGTACAGGGCTTCCCTAGTGGTGCAGGGGGTTAAGCATAGCACTGTGAAACTGTCCAGAGTCTCTGCAGCATGAGTTCGATCCCAGGCCAGCCAGGGAGCAACCCACATGGTGCAGCAGACCTCTCCTGTCTCGCCCGCTTCTCCCTTCAGCAATATATTTCAGTCAGTCTGCCTGTTCTGCTCCCCACTTTGTCTCTGGTGAATCCTCTCATCTCCCCCCTCCCCGCACCCCCTACACCGCATCTCTGGCCTGTTACCCAGTTCTTGTGTGCATAAATAAACAAATCTTTTTTTTAAAAAAAGGAATAAAGTGCATTCTCCAGTCCTGCATGCCACTGAAAGCTTAACCTATGCCTAGAGCAAAGAGAAAGATGAAGGTTAAACAGGGACAACAATTCTAAAAGGCCAGGTTACCATTGTGTGTTAAGTAACATGATTGGCGGTAACAAATTTTATTTACTAAGTGCAGAACCCTTTATACACTGCTGGCAATGGGGCAGAATTGGAACTGGTTGTATCTGATACACACATTTCTAAATGTGTCATCCAATGCCCTCTCCTAACCCTTAGTAACTGTCTCTGTGGAGTTAAAAAAAAAAAAAAATGGCGTTGTTCAAGATAAAACAAGGACAAGGCTGACTCACCAAGAGCAGAAAACCTGTGATGGGAGAGGCTGAGAGAGAAAAGGGATCATAGTGTTTTATCACTCCAAAGGCAAAATTCAAACTATGACATCAATTTGGTTAAATGCTTTACTGTTTGGAAAGTGACCAATTTTCAGGTGGTTAGCCACCATCAATTTAGGTACCTCTAGATACAGTCAGAAATCACTATGATGCACAGATCTAGATAACATGAACTATTCAACTTAAAAAAAGTTTAATACCCTGGCCAAATGAATGACGAAGATATAATTAGCAATTTTAAAACAAGTGATATTTTCAGTGATAAAAAGTTACATGAATTAACTATTGACTTGAAAACTTTTAAAATATATGAGAATAAATGCTAACTGATATCACTCAAGACTTAACTTGCAAATATTTTAAAAACTTAAGATTTATTCCATAATTATTATATGCAAAGTAGCACTAAGCAAAGAAAGAAAGCAGTAGGACATTCTAAAAGTTAAGGAAGTAGTATTTTTATGACATGTCACTAAATGATAACTGATTTTTCATTATATAAATTCCAACCAGTTAAATGTCATTCACCAAAAGATGTAGAATTCCCATAAAAATTCCACATGACTGCTATTTTACACACACACACACACACACACACACACACACTTTAATTTGGAGTGATTCCATATTTTAGAGACCAAAAAAAACTAATGATTGATTGACTTCCCACCAGTTTTTTAGAGAACATGAAGAAATTGCTGATCAGATTCCAAATTCACCAAGTTAAATGGAATAATAAAGCAAGTATTTAGGTAATTAAACAGAATACACAGGAAGGGAAAACAAACCAAAAAGTGCCTAAATAACTAATAATAAAAATCCAAAAGTCCTTATTATCCAGATAAAAATCTCAAGTAATTGGGCCTCCCTGGTGGCACAAGGGATTGAACACAGCACTGTAAAGCAATCAGCAGCCTCTGCACCATGAGTTCAATCCCCAGCCAGGCAGGGAGCTACCCACATGGAGCAGCAGACCTCTCCTTTCTCACCTGCTGCTCCCCTCAGCAGTGTATTTCAGTAGATCTGCCTGTTCTGCTCCCCACTGTCTCTGGTGAATCCTCTCCCTCCCCCCCAACACCTCTGGCCTGTACCTCAGTTTTTGTATGCATAAATAAATAAAAACTGTAACAAAAATCTCAAGGACTCACATATATCTATATATATCTATATCTATCTATCTATCTATCTATCTATCTATCTATCTATCTATCTAAAGCTTAAGGAGATAGACCTTTTAAAGGTGGGAGTTTGAAAAGGTCTGTCTCCTTCAGCTTTTCTGTATAATCCTTTGATCAGTTAGTGGTTTGTTTCTTGCATCAAACTATCAAAATAATTTCATTTTTATTCTTTAAGTAAGACATTTTGTTTTGGAACACATTAGATAGGAGACATAAACAAGGGAGGCCAAGGAATTGGAAACTTAAAAATCATTACCTGAAGGCCTTCGATAGCCAATCGAAGCATGCTTGGTGTAAGTTTAGAGGCTTGTTTGAAGGTGAAGTTACTCCAGTCTATGATCAAAACAAATCCATTCACTTGAAGCTCAGGATCTTCAATCATGGCTTCCAAAGAAAGTAAGATGGCACGCAAAATATCCACCAGTGTGTACCTATCAGCAACAGGAAAGTATTGCATTAAATCTGGGACAACCACTTTTGCAAAAAAAAACTATAGCAAGTTTTTAAGCACACTAAAAATTCCCTTTGAAATACCACCAGTATATTGAGATGATTTTATCAAAATACCTATGGAGAGAAGGTATGCGCAGCAGAGGTATACTTACATGCACTCTAAGGAAACAACAGAATTTAACCACAATGTTCATGTAGGTACAGTTTGTTTCATATTTTACAAACATTTCCTTTACCTCTAAACCAATGATTTTCTAAAATTTCATTTCATCTATTCTAAAAACTAGACATAGGACTTTCAAATAGCTGATGAATGTTCTCAATAATACTGAATTTCCTTTCTTCATAGTTCAAAACTGAAATTTAATGTTGTCTCATGAATAAACAAAACCATTGTATGTAAACAGTGGTGGTTACAGTGTCAATAGATTTTAATGACTTGTATTGAGTTTGTATCATAAAGATAAAAGAGAAAAGGAAAAGTACAACAGACAGAAGAAAAGGAAGGCAATGGAAATGAAAGGGAAAACCTACCTGCTTATTCAAATGCAGTTTATCCAAATTTCCTTTTCTGCCTTGCAGCTTAGCGCAGTGCCTGACACACTACAGAAACCTATACATGCACTTTAGGGTCCTATAATATGGAATTAGACTAGGATATATAAACATGGATTGTAGAAAAAGACACTGCCTTGACAAAGGCCATGGAAGTTAGAACAAAGAAGAGAAATTTGAGAATTATTTCAGAGGTACAAGTGTTAAAATGTGATAATTAGATATGGAGACTAAAACTGAAGGAAGAGTAAAAGATGACAGTTTCTAGTTTCAGAGCCTGAGTAAATGATAAAATCTTTAATTAAAGTCAGTAATGCAAAAAGAGGATACTGTAGGGATGGCTGTAATGTAGAGTTTGGAATATTTAAGAGGAATTAGCAAAGTTATGAAATGTTTCAACGATATTAATTTCTGAGTAGCCTGAATTTCACGTTTTATTCTCAGATATTCAAGTGGAGACTTTCAGGAAAAGCTAGGAAAAAAAACCAACTTTAGGGAAAAGGAGGGATGTGGAGGGTGGTGGGTTAGGAGTAGAAATCTTCAGCATTTAATGGACGTGATGGACTCACCAGGAAGACAGGTGAGATGGTGAGAACATGTAAAGGAGAGTTTTACTTTCATATATAAAAATATTTGGAGGTAACTAGATTAAGTGTAGTAGTTCAGAAAGAAAGGAACAATTAATAGTGAAACAGGGTGATTTCTCACTTTCTCCGGGCCCCTTTTCTTCATCTGTAAAATCAGTAGTATGAAATAGAATCTCTTCAGGATCCCAGCATTAACCAAGCAGAGGGCATGTTGTCAGAAAATCTCAAGGTGGAATCACTTCTCCACCCCTCATTAGCTGTGTGGCCTGGACATATCATTGGTTTATGATTCTGAGGTCAAGTACTCATAGATGAATAAAAAAGGACCTATGAATATCACATTCCATCTCTCTGCAATGGCAAGGCAGGTGGGGGAGGGGGAAGGCAGGGAAGGAAGTCAAGACACAATTTAAAGAGAAAGTATCTGCACAATGGCAGGTATACAGCAGGTCTCTAGTTTATGTTGCTTAGGAAAGACACAGTATACTTTATTTTAATAGCAACCATAGCCAGCACACTAGCAGGGCATGATCAAAACCAAAGAATAATTGTACACTTTACTTAAAATGTCAATGATGACATGAAGGACAGCCTATCACTTATTGTAAAAGACAAGGATGAAGACATTATTTTCAAACTTTTGTACAAAGGTTATTTTATAGATCTAGACCTATAATACCTCCTGAATATACAGATATTAAAACTTTTATAGAGCTCTATTATTTGTTTTTAAAACTATGAGATTTGTATGGCTGAATATCTTTCTTTATCTGTCATTATGTGACTGGACTATGTCTTTTTAAATATAATGACTTAACAGTGTTATGACCAAAACCTATAAACCTACAGAATGGAAAGCTAGATGAGAAAGGCTAGGTTTCTGGATAAAACCTAGATCCCCTTCATAAAAATACTTTTTGATTTCAAAATTCATAATATTATGGTAAAGAAAATTTTAAAAGTCCAGCATCAAATTTCCCTCACTATGATCTTTCTTATGTCACCATAATGATGCTAAGTAGCATTGTCACCAAAGTAACATTTAGCAAAGCTTGCATCTGAAATCAGCTTAGGAAGGATGGATGATACATTGTATGTAGTAAGAATAAATCATGACACACCAGCAGGGGCTGAAAACAAGAGGCAATTTGTTTTAAACAACACACTATAAGTATAATTTTCTTAAACTGCCCAATTGAAGAGAGAAATTCATATACATATTACTCCAAAGGAGATAAAATAAGGCAAATCCCAGGATCAGCAAGGAAAAAGAGCAGGTTTGCAAAGTGTTCAAAGCAAATCTAATCAAGGTTTTTATTTAATATATTCCTAAAAAAAAAGAGAATTCAATGATCTTTATATAAATCATATTAATTTGTAAGTTAATGGAAAGAACAAAGCTTCCTAGCTAACTGCGTTCAAAGGGCAAGGCAAAAGCACTCTTGACACTCAGTCCTCTGTTGTCAAACATGTCACATTCTTACCATTAGCAGCTCAGCAGGCCTTTCCTAAACAGAACATTACTACATGAGACTTGCCAAAGTCTGTATAATATCTTCCAAAGAAATGGAGCATTTTGTGAATTTTACCTCTCCAGGAATCCTACTATCATTCTTTTCTTTGAAATCATTTTTAACTGTTAAAATTGACAAATCAAAAGTCACCACAATAAATATTCAACATGTTCACATTTACAGTTTATACCCCAATCTCTGGAGCCCCTTCATTGCAATTCTACTCTCGTATATTGGAAGAAAGCCATAAATAACAAACTAGCACATTAATGCAGCTCTTGACTCCTGATTGTGCTTCCCAGAATAGCATTAAGTAAAGCCTGATTCTGAAGTCAACTTGGAGAGGATGAATATAGCATGTAGTAAGAAGAAATAATGACACTCATAAGGAATTTTACAACTGGGACACCAGGCTGTGTAGACCATTGTTCCTGAGTGCGATCAAAGCTGCCATACTATGCAAGAACAGTATGAAGAAGACTTGGACCCATGTTCGTCTTCTGTTTCCTATCTGTGTGAACAAGAGCAGGAAAGCTCCATCTCCTGTCTGGCCATGCAAGGTTTTGGGGGACTGCCTAGCCTGTGCTGCTTTCCTAGGGTTCACAGAGCTCATCCTCAACCACAGTTTGCAAATAGGATGAAGACCAAGCTAAATCTCAAACAGGTTATTTCCTACCTACTCTCCAACCTTTTCTTTCAGCTTGACAGGAAAAAACTAGCATCTTGGGGTCAAAATAAGGGGGTTGTAATTGTATGGGAAATATAAAAATAAAATTTAAATTCAAAAAAATAATAACATAGCATATGCTTCATGAATCTGTACTTACTGGAATTCAGCAAGATGATATTCAAATGTAAATCTATAAGTATAATTTGATCAATATAATTTTAATAATTAAACATAAAAAAAAAAACCTAGCATCTTGTCATCACATTGAGCAGTACAACAGCAAGCAATTTCCCTCCGTCACTAAATCAGTCAGCCATTATTAAATTCTTCATTAAGGTTGCCCCCAACTCTCTGTTTTCATTAAGCCACGTATTCTAATGTCTGAAGTACTTTCAGTTAGAAAAGTGCCAGGGGGAGAGACAAAGGCAAAGAAGTACCTTTGTTAATGCTTCGGTGTATTGTTAGTACTAAAGTTGACAACTTGGTGTTTTATATGAGTGACTGCTAATAATAATAGTATCTGGGTAATAGTTTAAGATTTCCAAAGCAATACCAAATGCATTATTGCACTCTCAAAATAAGCCCAAAGTCTCTGTGCTGGCTTTTGTGCTTTAATTTTTGGAAATGAGGGCAAAGTGAGGTCTCAGAGAATTTTAGAGTTGTAAACACAGGGTCTCAGAGAATTCAGTTTGCCCAGAATCACTATGGGAATAAAGAGGGGAGCAGTCAGTCTTTCTGACTCCACGTAAATCAGTTCACTCCTTACAGTGCCTACACCTTGAACAGAGTTTATCTGCTTTTCCATGGCTTAGTGGCATAATACATGTCAGAAGACACATCAGTAAGGCAACACTAACCTGGAAGCATGCCAGTTTCCAGAGCAAGCTCCAGCCTGGTGCCATGAGGGGGACAGAGGCAGGAAAAGCAACAAGACACACTTAAGATTTGGGATGGGAAGAAGCGACATCTACAAGCCCTGGAGAAAATATGAACTGCAATATATTTATCTGTCTGGCATGTATCACTGAGTATAGAAAATGAAGCATCTAAATCTTGCTTTTATTTTAGTTCTTTGAGAATATAAGTATGTGAAAACAAAAGAATCACTGGAAATGAAACATCTAGACCAAAAAATATCTTTCTTTGAAAAAAAGGTTAAAAATATACTCCTAATACCATTAAAATAAAATCAAATAAAATTATGCTGGAAAAATATAAACATATTAGAAAGGCAACTCCTTTCTGGGTATAATACTCTATATAAACATGCATCTGCTTCCTTCAGAAGGATATTCAATGAACTTAACTTTCTGTTCTTAATTGTCTAAATTTTGTTGTTTAATAAAGAATTTCTAGGGTCTCCCTGGTGGCACAAGGGGTTAAGACACAACCTATGAAGCTGTCCCCAGCCATTACAGCATGAGTCCAATTCCCCAGCCAGTCAGGGAGTAACCCACGTGGCTCAGCAGACCTCTCCTGATTCACCTGCTTCTCCCCTCAGCAGTGTACTTTGGTCAATCTGCCTGTTCTGTTCCCCACTCTGTCTCTGGTGAATCCTCTCACCCCCCACAGCTCTGGCCTGTACCCCAGCTCTTGTATGCATAAATAAATAAATCTTAAAAAACAAAGCTTTGAAAAAAGAATTTCTAAAC